TTTTTTTTTCTTGCTTCTTCTTCTTTCTCATTGCATTCACTAATATAAGATGAAATTCGAAAAGAAGATTCTTCCTATGAGATTTGCTAATATACCGCTGACTTGGTCACACACACACAGGAAATACGCAATGAGTTCCTGCAAAACGATTCAGAATGACCGAATGAACGGGAATAACGAGAGGGAGAGAGAGACAAAGAAAAAAAAAATAGATAAAAGTAAACTAAGAGAAAAAAAATGAATTAGTGATGATGTTTCCAACTATATATCTATGGCACTAATAGTTGAAGAACGACAAAGAAAGAAAAAATGTTGAAGAATGCATTACAACTATGGATTAATAGCAATTAGTAAAAAAAAAACGATAGGATCGTCAATTTTCATCTATTGAATAGAGAACTAAAAGATTTATAATCAATTTTTAAGCAAAATAAACGATTGTTTAATAAATATTTTATCACCATCTATTCTTCTCGAACGTTTTATGTTCTATTAAAATTTCATTTAATATTTTTGTTCTTTGTTTCCAGTTTTTTTTTCTCTTTTTCCTTTTCTCAATATAATCAAATAATCTATCATTTATTAAAAAAGCAAATGATGAGTTAATTATAAAAAATAAGCAAATGAATGTGTTAGCAATAAAATCAAATAATCACAAGTTTGCATTTTTGACGTTTATGTGCTTCTCAACAGTTACAAAGATATAAAAAAAGATTTTCCCTTCTATATATATATAAATGTGTTCTTTTCTTCTCTTTTCCTTTTTTATAATTGAAGATTTCCTCTTGATGTTTATTACATATTTCATATTTTTGACAATCATCGCAACCATTATCATCGCTATTTTGGTTTCTTTTCTCTTGATAATTTTTTTTTTTTTATTCAAAGAATAAAATAATACAATAACGCGGACTATCACACATTCCCAAAGTTCATTTCCAAAACAATTAGAAAAGAAAAAAAAGGAATGCCGAAATATTATGCACCTCGATAGATCATTTTCATAGATGTTGTCAAAATTTCAGGAAGCAATCAGATTGTTGATTTGACTACTAAGATTTTTGTTTTATTTCTTTTGTCGGACGTTTTTTTTTTTTTATTTCCACAGTGTGAAGGGACATACACATTCACACATGATATAATCAGTATATGTCGTAAAGAAGACAATCGATAAAAAGAAATGTGCGAACAGAAGAAATAGACAGACAGTTAGACAGACATATAAATAAAAAAGTAACAAAAAAGAAAAGGTAAGATCGATTTTGATTTATTAGAAGGAAGTTTTTGTTCTAGGTGTGTTATGTTAAAAAATTCATGTTCAATGCTTGAGGTTATGCAAGCAAAGCGAAAAAGATCATTTATTAGAATCGATAGATGACAATGTCGGCCATGTATAACAGTATAGCATACAAAAAAAAAGTTAACACTTGCAAGAATGAGTCAAGTGGAGACGAGAGAGAGAGAGAGAGAGATAGAGAAAATGAGCGCGC